ACCTTTGCAAAGTAGTTGAAAGGTTGAAGAAGAACAATGAAAAAGAATCAAGGTCAAATCAGTGGATGTGTAGTTGTGCTTTATATTTCCTACTTTCACCGCCTTGTTTTTAGAGGCATCCATGAACTACTAGTACAACCATTGATAAAGCATTAGACGAATGAAAAAATGAGAAGCAGAATAGCATAGGAAGCAAAGGCCAAATTTGTTCAAGGATAACTCGTGAAGGATACTTATCCAATCTGTATAAGGGATCCAAGACAAACAGAAATTTTGGGTGATGTTATTGAGACTGCTTACCAGCATTTCACAAACAAAGCGAGAAGATGTCTTAATTTAACCATACCACCCCCATCTGATGACAAATACTAAGATATATGCAGCTGCCCGTGATGTAAGTATTATTTGTTCTATTAAAATTTATTTTTTCTGCTAATAAATTATGTTTTTGGTGCTATGTCTTTATATTTGACCTTAGTTAAACATATATACTGTAAACAATAGCTTTAAAGTTGAGAGTAAGAGTAGTGAGGAATATATAAAATGATAGTTTTTAAAGTAAAGATAGTAGACTTAAAAGTTAATAATTTACCTTAAAAAGTAAATAATAACATTTTCAAAGTTGTAATAACTATGATATTTTCATAATTTGCAGGAAATTAAAGAGGATCTGTTATTGTTGAAAAGAGATTCAGCTCTGTTTTCAATGTTACATGCTGAAAGTTTGAACTCTATAAAATATAGGCTTAAAAAAGCTAAAACAGGTCCATTAACATCAAAAGGATCTCCAGTAGTTTCTCAAACTCATAAACTTTTAGAAGAACGTAGGATTTTAAAAGCTCTAAATGAAGTTGTTAGGATCTATAATGATTTGAAGGATGTTTCAAATGTTTTCTATTCTACTTGGGAAGAGCAAAACAAGAAGAAAAACCCTGAAAAGTATGTTGAAGATCATGTTGATGATCATGTTGTTGATCTGGAAACTATATATATCAATGCTGATACTCATGAACCTGCCAAAAATGAAACACTGATCAATGAAGGCCATGAAGGGCAAAAAGTTGGAGTAGAAGTAGAAAAGGGAAGGGATGCTACTGAGGTTGTAGCCACAGTCCTTAGTAGCATTCAAGAGAACTTAGCTACCAAAGGGGCTGATACTTTTGTGCAGCAGCCAACTATGACTAAGGAAGCAAACACATTGCTTACAAACATTCAGGAGGAGTTAGCTTGAAAGATAAGGAGTTCAGTGCAATTTGGACAAAAAGGAGTTGATGTTGATTTTGTTTGTAAGTGGATGAAAAACAACAAATCAAGAATGAAAGAAATGCTAGAATTGTGGCAATCAATGGCTGATTATTGTTTTGTGCTAAAAAATTCATTGAAAAAGTAAGTGTTATTTGTGTTCTACTTTTATAAGTCTTCAATCTACTTTATTCAGTATTTCATTTACTCGTTAAACTTTTTTGTGTGTATAGTGAAGAGTTGGTGAAATTTGAAGACCAACTTATGGTCACAAGAGATGACGAAGTATCTCTGGCTCCATCTGCCCCCCTACAATGATAGAATCAAACGTTGTTATGAATTTGGCATATATTATGAACGAGTCAAGAATGTCAAATCTATCTTGTTTTTTCTTTGGTATTGACCACAATGTAAGTAATACAATTAATTAAGAATTGAATACATGTTTACTTATCATGTTTTGTAAGTATATTATTTTTAATATTCAGTTCAAGTTTTCTGTGAACAAGTAAAAGATTTAGTGTTACAAGTAAAAGAGTTAGTGTTTAAAGTAAATAGGAATATTTGTAAAATAAATGAATTATTGAATGATATGTATGGGTTTTTCTAGTGCTCTGCTCCAAGAATCTATTTAAATTTCTAAATGAATGGCATGTTTTGTTGCTGTGATATACAAAGACCTCTTGAGATTTCTATGCTATCTCAAAACCCTTCACAAGCACAAGCACAAAAACCTACTGAAAAACCTTCACCAAGAACAATTTTGGCTGAGTTGAATCAAGCTTGGTATGATTGGATGTGCCTTTGTGAGGGAAAAGAGAAAATTTTAGGAGCTGATTTGGTATGTTTATTAGGTTTTATTATCCTAACTATTTTGAAATAAAATTTATTCTTTTGGATTTTAAATAATGTATTTATTTTGACAGATCTGTGTTCCGATTTGTATGCATAACCACTACAGCTTAGTAGTGGTTAATTTATTGAAAAAAAGCATACAGTACTTGGATAATAGAGAATATGATGAAGTGAATATGAATTACTACAAAAATGTTGCATCTACTATGGGATGATTCCCTAATTAAAGTAAATAATTATTCAACAAAAGTAAATGATTTTACAACTCAAGTAAATGATATTTTTCTATAAAGTAAACTGTACTGTAGTCTATCTTTATTCTTATAATTTATTTTTGTAATTCTTATACTTAGTAGAAATGTCAGAGTTCTTGAAGAGAATTAACCATGAAAAAGCTGAAGATAGATTGTCTTATGACTTTAATGATGTTATGTTTTCTTGGAAATCTTCAAAATATACCCTAGACTGTAGTGTCTTTATGATGGTCCATATGTTGTGCTTCAATGGAGAAAAGTTTGATGCAGACCTTGATCTTGCAAACAGAAGAAAGGTATATCGTCCTCAAATATGTGCTGCACTTATTCTATCAGATATCAACAGAGAACGAGATGCAATTTTGGAGAGAGTATCAAAGTTCAAGGTTGCTAGAAAACTTGAGGAACCAAAGAAATCTGATGAAGAAATCAAATTGGAAAAGATGATTTATTTCTCAGAATTCATGAAAGAAGAAAGGCGCATTATGAACACAATGAGCTTGCAACACTACCAAGTTATCGACTATGTGGCCATCGTTGATGAAAATTTTCCAAACAAAAGGTAATTCGTCATTTATGAAAGATTAATATTTATATAGTTGCAAATAAAACCCAAACTAATATAAAACACAATGCAGTGAAGTTGTTGCTTGGTTTGGAGAGTCTATTGAATTAACAAGAGGAGATTGTGATCTGTTACTCAACCAGTGGAAAGTTTCAGATGCCCTGATCACTGTTTGGACTTATTACCTCAATTGTTTTGAGAACGAAAGAGATAGGAATGGGACAGAATTAGTCAGATTCTTGTTTGGATTATACTTTATGGTAAGTTATAGTATTCTGCTTTAGAAAGAACTAAAAAGTGATTAATAGTGTTGAAATAATATTTAAACAATTTGCAGGGCTCTTTATCTGTTTGTTTGAAAGCACAAGTAAAAAAAGGAGTCACTGCCCTTTAAAAAGTCTGGGATGAATGGACAAAATCCCTAGTACTGGAGTTGGATGCTGCTAAGTGTGTAAGTACATCAAAAATTCTAAAGCGTAAATAAATAGTTGTTAAAAGTAAAATAAAGTAGCTTTAAAGTTAAAGATTAAAAGTAAATGTCTTGTGAAATTTGCAGGTGTTTATACCCTTAAGGAAGGATGATCATTATTTCCTTGCTGTGATAAATTTCAAAAATGAAACTATTGATCACTTGGACAACACGGAATAAGAGGACACAGTTTCTTGGGAGCCACCTAAGAGTTTTATAAAAGAAGTGGTAAATAAGAAAATTTTCAAAAATATGCAAATCCTATATAATTACTTTGTTGCTGTAATCTAAAGAAAATTAAATATTGCAGGTATATCAAATGCAAAAGTTATTTAAGAAAAGAAAACATCTAAAGGCAAAAGCTATGTCAGAGTCCCAATTCAGGTTACTAGAGCTTCCATTCCAAAAACCAAACATAGATCAGACTCTTTTTTCTTTTTAATTCAGGTTCAGTTTTTCTTAATAAGATCATCCAACATGATCTGTCTGATCTTATTAAGAGTTTGACCTTCACCATTTTTCTTTTTCATCATTTATTCCTCAAATAAAGTCAAACTCTTAATAAGATCAGACAGATCATCCTCACATTGCTTTGCTAAACTAACACAAGAGAGCATCTTGGACCACACATCAGAGATTAACTTCTTTTTATCAAACTTAGAAGCATCATCCACACATTGAAAATTACAAACCAATGAAGCATTCTTTAAAACATCTTTAGTCTAACGGTTCAAAACATAACGATCATAATGAACAAATGTGTCTGCACAATATACCCTGATTCTCATACATCTTGCAGGTACAAGTGCACTCATGTGTGGATAAATAAAAAAAACATCAAAATTTTTCTTCCGTTCGTTATCCACAAAAACAGAAAACTCAACACCATCACCATAAAGTGAGTTACAACTCTCTACCCCAAATGAATAACAGGCAGCCTCACATTCCTGTTGAAACTCATAAAAAATTGCACAATTGTAAACAAGAAATGCATGTTTCTCCAATTGTAACTGAGTGACCAATTGAGGCATGGACTTGTTTAGTCTAGTCATCTCATCCTATCATGCCTCTGAGCATCCAATGTAGTTTTATAGCGAAGAATAAACTCGACATAAGTAACATGAGGGTTGATAAAGTTACAAAAGAAGTTATTCTTACCCTCAGATCAAGAAATAGATCTTAACAGCCCACCCATAAATAACTCTCTGAAATAGGCAGGAATCCAAAGGTGTTTAATCTTGAACATATGAACAAACCACTCATGATTTTGCAACCCAAATTCTTGTAAAACAAGATTCCAACCCTAAACAAACTCATAAGGTTCTATCTCCCTATCCAAGACTAATGCACTTAGTTTCTTCAAGAAATCAGTTTCTTGGCACAATCGAGGACCAACCCTATCAGGAACCTTATGCATAATGTGCCACATGCACTGCTTAGTTCCCGTATACACCTTCTCAATGGAAATACCCATGGCAGGGCCTTGATTTGTAATAATGCAAGAAGGTTACTTTCCCATACACCTTAAAAATGTTTGAAACAGCCAAACAAAAGATTCTATATCATCTTTGGAAAGAAAAGAAGCACAAAAAGTGATATATCTTTTATGATGATCTACACTAGTGAAAGGATAGAACACCAAAGAATACTTGTTTGTGTCATACGTGGTATTAAAAGAAATAGAGTCACCAAACAACTGAAAATCGTTCCTACCTATAGGATATGCCCAAAATGCTCGTGTTAGATGCCTATTTGCATCAACACAATAATAATAAAAAAAATAACCACCCACACTCCCCTGCCCTGCAAACACCCATTTCCTAAAGTCAGTCTTGAATTCAATGCTGAACTCCGCCCTGAACTTCAGATTGAATTCAGTTTTGAAATTCAGTTCTGAAATTCAATTCTGAATTCAAATCTGAATCTAGTTCTGAAATTCAGTTTTGGTTCGGTTATGAAATTCATTTATGATCTTCAGTTTACATGTTCGTTTTTTAACTAAATTACGGTAGCTATTTTATTTTTAAAATAATACATAGTATATGTCCCTTATGTTATCAAGTTAGAGGAATTTCAGTGTGTAACTGTACCTGATAAACACAAAGACATAGGACTTGCAACCAGTTTATCCCCTTTACGAAGCTTATTAGTTTTGATTCTTTATAAGTTTATGTTAAGCTTCCTCTAGCAAGATAGTAGTGTATACTAAATTTTACCTCAAAATTTTTTGTAGGAATTGAGTGAAAAAAATCGTGTGAGGGCAAAGAAGAAGACCTCAAAGTATTAAGGAGGCCGAAAGTTTGACATATATTGTATATGTAACTACCATATATACAGTATGGGTGTTGAAATTTTCTATTCTTATAATTAAAACATAAGTCTAAATTAATTTTGTACAATGCCAGGAAAAAGAACTTGAAAAACAGGGAGTCCATGTGTCACAAGTGCCTCGACACTTGACTTGGATCAGAGCTCATTCTCAGGTCAAAGATGGAATTGTAACTTCTGAAAATCCAGTCGATAGGGAAATCCATGAAGCTATTGTAAGAAATCTAATGAAGACTGTTCTGCACAACAATTTTTTTTCATAAAATTCTTGTGAATGATTGCCTTGATTTGAATCTATTTCAATTGATTTCATCTATTACGCCCCTTGAAATTTCAAATTGCAGATTGCAGTGGAGGCTCAAGCTCAAAGAGGAGAATTCGCTTGTAATGGTCGGGATGATATATTAGATGGAGCATTGAATAAGCATGAGCATGGTGGTTCAGTGAGGGCAGTTGGATCAGGCATCACAAATAAAGGAATATTTTGGCTTTAACAAACCAACTGCACCGAGCCAATTGTATGCCAAAATCGGCATGATGCAATCAGAGATGGGAACTATGAAAAATAGTCAGAATTTATTATTGTCTTTCATCATGTCATGCTTAAATCAGGAGCAATTGAAATCGTTCATGGCCATTTTTGGTCAATCCAGTGCTTTTGGTCAATTTGGCAATGTTGGTAGTCAGCCTGCTTTTGGTGGTCCGTCTGGTTCTGGTGGTTAGTCTGGTCATGGTCAACAGGTTGGTTCTTCTGGTAGGACTGGTTTTGGTGGTCAAATTGGTTCTGGTGGACAGTTTGGTTTTGGTGGTGACGCTGGTTCTGGTGGTCAGTTTGGTTTTGGTAAGCAAGCTGAATTCGGTGGTTTTGGTGGTCTTGATGGTAACAGGTTAGGTTTTACCCAATTAAATAATTCGGTTGACCATGGATTGCTTAACATTCCACTTACACAACTACTAACTAGAGTGGTTGGGCGACAACAAAGTGAAGGTCATCAATTGTTAGAGTCTCAATCTTAGGATGCTGCTTATGTTTCACGTGGTAATGAGGCTCAGATAAGTCCTCCCGTGCACCAGGTTCATCTTCAAAGCCCTGAGGCCGAGATGTACCATGTTTCTTGGCCTCAAACAGAGCAAATTAATTAACCTGACCATGCACATCAGAACAATCATGATGATTTCACAGCTGATCAACTCACTTTTCCTGAGGTATTGTATTAAAAGTTATACATCTTCGAATGTAAATTATGTATATGAAATTTGATTGTGTCATAACTTGTATAGGCTGGAGTGATTGTCAACTGGATATTGAGGATGGCAATAAAGGACATGTAATTGTTGCTAATGGGAAGGTCTATATAGAGAAGGCAAAAGGTATCAGAAATCATGTCCAATCACTACCCCCCCGGTCACCGCCGAGTCTATTATATAAGATATTGTGCCGAATGCTCCCTTGCCATGTCCAAACGAAGAATTAATCTTTGTCTGCCAAGCTAAGAAGAGTTACAATGCTTGGCCAATGCACTTGATTCTTCCAGTTAAGGTATTGTATTGAAAGTTTTAACTAGCTATGAATTCCTTTTTTTCCCTGTTAATGTTATAGAAGTTTATTGACGACATTTACGCATAAAAAATAAAGGGACAAGGTAAAGAAGAGAATTGATTTTTTTAGAATTGAATTTAGTTCAGAATTGATTTTAACTTAATTCAAAATTGATTTTTAGAACTGAATTTAGTTCAAAATTGATTTTTAGAAATCAGTGCAATTTTCATCCTCTTATGAATACTTAAGAGTTCATTTACTTGATATATATTGTTTGTATGAAAGGCTGATGTGCACCTGGAAAAAGACGTGACTACTCCATCCCCAGGATCGGCATCATCCCAAACATCAACCACTGACATGTATCTTTTCACTGCTGAAGATTGTGAAAAAGTGACTACTAGTTGGAGAAAAAAATCGTTAAAAACTCATGCTTTGGGAATGAAAAAGAGGAGTGAATCCATCTCCTTAAGTTTCCAGAAAAGTGTATTTCTGACTGAAAATGTGGTTAATGTTACTCTTGACTACGAAGATTTGCTTAATTGGTGTTCCCAGAAAGAGATAGGAGCAGCTCACTTGAATATTTTCATGAAGTAAGTGCATTTACTTTTTTAAGTATTACTTATTTGAGAATTTTTATTTTCAGTAACTTGTTACATGTTTGACCTTTTATGGTGGGGAAAAGTACTTGAAAGAACAATGTCAAGAAGGAATTTCGGGTATGTTTGGATTTTGCGATTCCAATGTTCTATCCCCAATGACTCCAACAATAGAAGAGGAAAACCCGTCTAAATACTTAGCTCGTGTCTTTGGGTGCAATGAGGGAAAGAATCGTAATCAATTATTCTTTGCACCTTTTAATGAGAAGTACGTGCAATATGTGTTTTCTCTACAATTGCTGATAATTATTGATATGTTATGTTATTAACTTGTCGTGTAATTTGTATGTAGTCGGAATTGGATGTTAGCTGTTATTAGCCCTTGGAATGGGTCAGTCTATTGGTTGGATCCAGGTGGAGCAGACAATATACCTGAGTTTGCTAAAACAGTCATCAATGAGTAAGTAATTGAGTAATCATTTAATGACTTCATTATATTTGTATTGATGTTCAAGTAATTGGTATTTTTGTCATTATTATCATTTTATCTTGTCATAATTATGTAGGGGAATCAAACAATTTAGCGTTTTCCATCGCAAGGATATCAAGGAAATAAAAAAGGATGCATATATTGGGTGGAAGCAACCAAAGGTATTCACTTTATATTTTTAAACTTAACATACAATGATCTGTTGTAGGTCTTTAACATAATAAAGTAACTCATGGATGATCTGTCTTTGATTCTGTTGTAGTGTCCTAGTCATCCTAAACACAAGGACTATGGATACTTTTTGTGCCGGTACATGCTCGAGATTTTAGAAAAAAGGGTGTTATGGATTACTGACAAGATTATAACTTATGTAGTTGGGATACTTTGGTTGTTTCAACTCAATATTTCTGACCAAAATTTGCTCACTTTAACACATATATTTATGACTAACTATAATTGTGAGAGGACTTGTTGCTTGTAATTGCTACTAGGAGCTCGTTTCCCCCTCTCTCTTCCCCCATTAACCCCTTACTAGTTTTCACTATTAGAATGAATTACCAGGCTATACTTATGCAATACAATGAGCTCAGCCCCCCCCCCCCCCCCCCCCCTTACTAGTTTAACTGCTCTAAATTTGCCGGCATTATTTAGATGCTCATTCTCTAATTTAAAAAGATAATATATGCAAAGGGCAGTAGCCACCTTAGCTTGCAAGAGCAGCAGTAGCCTTGCAAGGGCAGGACAGTTGCACCCTTGCCTTGGCAGGGCAGCAGCAGTCAATACCTCCTGCCCTGCCCTTGCCTGAAATCAGTCCTGAAATTCAGATCTAAATTCAGTTCTGAAATTCAGTTCTGAAAATAAGTTCTGAAATTCAATTTTGGTTTGGTTCTGAAATTCAGTTATGAGCTTTGGTTCACATATTCGATTTTCAACTGAGATTTGACACTACTTCCATGGCCCTATTTAATTCTTACTTCTGTTATTTACATTGCAGTTCTTTACTCAAGAAGCTTATTCATCAGAAGAAATTGATGAGATACGAGACATTTGGGTTGAATATTTGCTTAAGCAACTAAATTAAGCTAATGAAGAAGTCAAAGACGGTAGTATGGTAATTGCTTGAGTTTTGGTTCAAATTTTTATTCAACAGTTAGACTTTGGAACATTATAATATTGTGCTGATGTTTTTGGAAACAATGGTTAATGTATAGTGCCATGGTGTTTTTTTTTTGTAATGAATTTATGGTGTACATGGTAGAATGGCAGAAAGCTAAGGGTTTGGTTTATTTTTTTTTTATTTTTTTTCGTAATGGTGTAATTGTGGGCGGCACAAATTATATGGGGTGAGATTTTTATAATGGAATTTATTGAATTATATATGAAGCAGGCTTAAAAGTTTATTTGTCAAGAAATTTTATAGAATTACATATTATGTAGAATAGTTTTAGATGAAAATAAACAGGTTTATTGAAGAAATTGCTGGAAAAAAAAAATAAAACAAGCCATTTAGATATTTTATTGATTTAAAAAAAAATAAAGGTTTGCTAACAGACCTGTTAGGTTAAGAACGGATCTTTCAGGATGATGAATTAAATAAAAAAAATAATTCAAAGAAACCCTATATCTTTGATATGGGGTCTGAATATTGATTCAGGGTCTTTTAGTGTCCTGCGGGAGAGTTACAATTCCAAGACTGGATTTCGGGTGCCTATATCTGCAAAACAACGGAGAATCCGGTTGGTGGTAGTTCCGCCTCCGACGATCATGTTAGAACGTTGATGAGGGGCGTTCATGCCACCATTTCACCCTTTTTCACTAGTGAATTCCCTTATTTGTCACTTGTTTGTACCTCTTCTTACCGTTATTACCTTTGTTTTAGTTACTCTCGTTCTTTCTTGTGTTTTTCCTTTTCTTTTATCTTTTCTTTTGCTTTTTTACCCTTTACTCATTTGTTTTGATAGCTCCTAACACTCGTGGGCGGAATTGGAATTGCTAAGTGGAGTTGAAGTTGCTAGAGTAGCTTGTTCCAAGGAAAGGAGATGCAAAAGGGAAAGGGTGCACTGCCATAGCAGCCGCGAGCGCGAGCGCTGTTGTCGCGGGCGCGGACAGGAATGCTATGCCACGGGGCGCGGGTGCCATTGCTGCAGGCGCGGACAGAGGTCCTGAGCTGAAGACCCAGTTTCTGGAGATGGCTGGGAGATGGCAAGGAGAGGGCGCGACCTTGATGGCCGCGGGCGCGGCGAGCTGGGTTTTTCCAACTACGTACCCACAACAGAGAGGGCGCGATAGCCTTTCTAGAGAGGCCTCTCCCTCACCCATTTTCTTTGTTTTAAGCAAGAAACTATATATAGTGTTTAGCATGAATTTCATGAAAAATTTTGGACTATCATTCACTATTCCATTGAAAAATATTGTAGAGAGAGAGCATCAACATTCTAGAGAGAGAAAGTAGCTTAACCTTCAAGTTTCCATTGTTGTAATCAAGATATTTTCAAGTTTTCTTCAAGCTTTCATCTTTTCAATACAACTAGTCCATGTTTGCTCGATCCTTCAAGGTTAATAGTAGTAATCTCTTTATCCCTTATCTTTTATTTGGTTTTATTGCTCTTAATAGTGTTTATTTTCATAAAGTTCCTTGTTTTTACTTATTTCATTGCTTTTTCTTTGGTTTTGAATCATGTTTAGTTTTGTTGGGATTAAATACATGTTTAGTATAGTTAATATGGCTATCTTCCTTTCTCTAGCTTAGATTTCTGGCTAGGGAAGGGGGTGAAAATCATGATTGATTGAGTTTATATTGATGTTTGATTGGGTTTTGCTTTGAGTTGATGAGTTTGTGCTTATTATGCTTGGAGCTAGTGTTGTGCACCTCTATCCCCAATATTTGAATTCTAGATTAGATGCATGAGAATGATCTAATTTAAGTTTGATCGATTTCATTGACTTGCTTTGAGTGATTTCATGAGAATGAATCATTTTGAGTAGAGTTTGTACTCCTTGGCATGAATCCATGATGATTATCATAGTTGTCTTAGTAGATCATGATTGGAACCCCCTCTCCCTAGTGTTTTTGATCATATTTCTATTAAAATCTTATCTTTCATCTCTATTTTAGTGATTCTAGTTTAACTCCTTATTTTGCTTGTTTTAATCACTTCTTAGTAGATAGTTTAATCTTAGATATTCTCGAAAACAAAACCAATATACCCCTTGTTACTTGCAATAGATTCTTTATTTCACCTTGATTGTGCAATACCTCGTTTCCTTGTGGTTCGACCCTAGCTTGCCACTATCTAGTGTAAACTTGTAGAGTTAGGTTAGGAATATAAATTGTTAATTTTATGTGGGATAGTAGACACGACCTATTGTCCCTCGACCAAATTTTTGGTGCTGTTGCCGGGGAGACGACTTGTTTTGCACTCTTATTGTGTTATTATTGGATTTGTTGCTTTTTATTTTGTTCTTTACTCTCTTGCTAGTCATTGCTAATTGTTTGCTTAGCTTTGGTGGATGCAAAGGAGATCTCAAGGACCTCCTACACATTACATTGACCACGAAATCGACCGCACTTTGAGACAAGTTCGTAGACTCTATCAAGAAGAGGGGCGAGGTCTTGGTGCTATTGTTGATAGTGAGAGTGATTCTTGATCTTCAAATTCTCAAAGCAAGGAAATGGCGGGGCAAGAAGATGATGTTTTGTTTCATGAGTTTGGGAACCACGAGGATTATGAGCTCACGGGTGGGATTTTGCTACTCGTCAAGGAAACCAATTTTAACATTCATCCTCAATACACTAGAATGGTACAAGCGGAACAATTTTCAGGTTCTCCAAGTGAAGATCCTATTGAGCACCTTGATAAATACCTTGAGATTTGTGCCATGATTCAAACCAATCAAGTTTCTCAAGAATACATATGTATGCACTTATTTCGACAATCTCTTTCGGGTAGGGCAAAGAAGTGACTTAAACAAGTTAAGCCAAATTCTCTTACAACATGGAGAAAGATAGTCAAGGCATTCTTAAAGAGGTTCATTTCCGAAGAAAAGACCGCCAAAATGAGAAGGAAGATTGCATCATTTGAGCAAGAAGCGGATGAGAGTCTTAGTGAAGCTTGGGAAAGATTCAAAGAGTTGGTACAAGCATGTCCTCACCATGAATACAATTAAAGCTTGCTCATGCGGTTCTTCTATGATGGATTGGAACCTATGTCTAGATCCAACTTGGATGCGGGGGCGGGTGGACAATTGATTAAGGTCCCCCAAAATCAAGTTGAAACAACAATTGAAGAGGTAATGAAGAACTACTCTTGGAGTGGTAGAAGGAGGAATGCACCAAAGAAGGGTGGAAAGTATGAATTGGAGAAGGTTGATCAATTGTAACATCAAATTGAGCTTTTGACAAAAGGGCTTACAAAGTTGAATACGAGTGTCAATAGTGGGGCAAGCTCCTCTCAAGTCAATTCTTTCTCTTGTCAAAATTGTGGTGGAACGAACCACGATACATTTTATTGTGGGGGTTTGAGCCCCGAGCATGTGGCGTCATACAACACAAGGCAATATGGATATAGGGGAAGTGGTGGTGGAGTAGCTTGGAGGCAACCACCACCCGAATTCGCTCACCAACCTCAACAATGGAATCAACAAGCTCAACAATCATACAAATCCAACCCTCAATACCAAAACCCTAGAGAAAACTACCCAAGAAACAACCAACACAATAATCAAAACCAATACCACAATAAAAATCAAACGACTCAAAGGAGTCAAGAGCAAGCATCTTAACTCGATTCTACTCAAACCCAAATTCTTCAACAACTTCAAGCCATGAATCAACAAATGCAAGAGGTCAAGGCTCATAACAAGATGGTTGATTCACAACTAGCTCAATTGGCCGAGAGAGTCCCTTTCAATTCACCTTCTACTCTACCCGGACAATCACAAACTAACCCTTCCAACATCATGAAACCCGACTCTTGCAAGGCAATCACATTGAGATCGGGTACATCCTATGACGGCCCTAAGGAGGGGGATAGTGAGGAAAAGAAGGAAGGAGAAGAGAATGTGGGTGAAGAAAAGGAAGTTGAAGAAGAGAAGGTTGCTGAGAAAGAAAGAAGTATGGAGAAGAAGAAGCTTAAACATGAGAATACAACTTCGACTCCTAGTGAAGCTAGGAATCTTGATGGGCCAGTTCCATTTCCTGGTCGACTTGCGGAGAGGAAGTTGAATGACAAGTTTTCAAAATTCCTTAGTGTGATGAAGAATTTGCACATCAAGCTGCCTTTCATCGAAGTTGTCACACTAATGCCTTCATAATCCAAGTTTTTCAAGGATATTCTCACCAACAAGAGGAAGCTCAATGATGAGCTCATCACTCTTCCCCATCAAGTGAGTGCACTTGTTCAACATAAGATGCCCAAGATGCAAAAGGATCTGGGAAGTTTCACTTTGTCGGTAAAGATTGGGAATATGGAAGCTAGGGGCGCCTTAGCCGATCTTGGAGCAAGTGTTAGTTTGATTCCTCTATCCATTGCTCAAAATCTTAACATTGAAATGATCACTACAAGGAAGACTATCCAATTTTCCTTGTGGTGAGCTTGAAGATGTTCCTATTCAAGTTGGGCATATTTATGTGCCTTGTGATTTTGTAGTGATGGATATGGAAGAAGATGTTGATACTCCTTTGATTTTGGGTCGTGAATCTCTTAAGACTTTGGGGGCGCTGATCAATTGCAAGAACAACACCATTACATGTGAGGTTTCCGATGAAAAGATTGTGTTTGAGTTCTCTAAGTTGCTCAAGACCCCCATGGTTGAAAATTGCTATAGGGTTGATGTTGTGAATGAGGAGTTGGATCATTTGAGAAGGGTTATGATGAAGCCTCAAGATCCAATGGTTGAAGCTATTACATGCAAGGAAGAGTATCACTCTCAAGAAGCAAAAGAGTTTGTCATGGCCATGGAGGAAACTCAAACGGAGGAAGACCATGAACAACAAGAGGATAAAGAAGATCTTGAACTAGAGGAGAAAATGGAGGAGAGTTCCAAGCCTCCTCCCAAGGTAGAACTCAAACCCCTTCCCCCAGGGGAATACCCTATAATTGTCAATGCTACCCTTGGTGGTCTTGATTTGGAAAAATTGCTTGTTGTGTTGAGAAAATATAGAAATGTGATAGGGTATAGCATTGATGATATCAAGGGTATTATCCCCTCTTTGTGCATGCATTGTACTCATCTTGAGGATGATCAATCCACCTCGATTGAGCCTCAAAGGTGGTTGAACCCCAACCTCCAAGAGGTTGTCAAGAAAGAAATCTTGAAATTGCGTGAAGCGAGCATAATTTATGCTATCTCCGATAGCAAGTGGGTTAGCCCGGTTCACGTGGTTTCAAAGAAAGGTGGAATGACCATCGTCAAGGGAGAAGGAGGAGAGGAAATCTCCACCCGGACGGTGACCGGGTAGAGAATGTGTATTGATTATTGGAAGTTGAGCAAAAATACAAAGAAAGACCATTTTCCTCTCCCCTTCATGGACCAAATGTTGGAGAGACTTTCTCACCATGCTTTCTTTTGTTTCTTTTGTTTCCAAATCCTTATCCACCCAAGTGAACAAGAGAAAATTACTTTCACATGTCCATATGGAACATTTGTGTATCGAAGAATGCCATTCGTGTTATGCAATGCTCCTTCAACATTCCAACGATGCATGACTTCCATTTTTTCGGAAATGCTTGAAAATGAGATTGAAGTTTTTATGGACGATTTTAGTGTTGGTGACTCGTCTTTTGACACTTGTCTTTATAATCTTGAAAAAGTTTTGAAAAGGTGTCAAGAGACGAGTTTGGTTTTAAATTGGGAGAAATGTCACTTTATGGTTGAGGAGAGAATTGTCCTGGGCCATAAAGTGTCAAAGAAGGGGATTGAGGTTGACTCGGCCAAAGTTTCGGTGATTGCAAAGTTGGCCCCTCCTACTTTCGTTACGGGAGTGAGAGCTTTTTTAGGGCATGCCGGTTTTTACCGGAGGTTTATCAAAAAAATTTCATCAATCGCCAAACCCTTGACCAAATTACTCAAGAAAGATGTTGTTTTTAGCTTTGATGAGGCTTGTCTTGAGGCATTTCAAAGATCAAGGAAGCTCTCATTTCCTCTCCCGTTGTGAAAGCTCCGGATTGAAGCTTGCCTTTTGAGCTAATGTGCGATGCGAGTGATTTTGCAGTAGGTGCGGTGCTTGGGCAAAAGAAAGAAGGAAGATCTCATGTCATCTATTATGCAAGTAGAATACTTGATGAAGCTCAAAAGAATTACACAACAACGGAGAAGGAAATGCTTGCGGTTATGTTTGCCATGGACCAGTTTATGTCCTATCTTATTTGCTCCAAAGTGATTTTGTACACGGATCACATAGCGGTTCGCTATCTTATGACCAAGAAGGAAGCTAAGCCACGCCTCATCCGTTGGGTTCTTTTGCTTCAAGATTTTGACATGGAGATGAGAGATAAAAAGGGAGCGGAGAACTATGTGGCGTGTCTAGGCTTCCTTTTGAGAACAAGGAGGATGTGCCAATCAATGAAGATGTAGGATTTGAAACTCTCATGGCTATGGCTTCAACATCTAGCCCATGGTATGCGGATATAGCCATTTATCTTGCTTGCGGGGTCATTCCCCCGGAGTTCTCTTCACAACAAAAGAAGTGTTTTTTCAAGGAAGTGAGGAGGTACTTTTGGAATGACCCCTACTTGTTTAAATAGCGTGGAGATGGCCTTTACCGGAAATGTGTTCCAGACCATGAAATCGAAGGAGTTCTTGAGCATTGCTACTCGTTGCCATGTGGAGGACATGGGTGAGTTTATATGGTGGCCAAGATTTCTCAATCTCTCCTATGGTGGCCGATGATGCATAAGGATGCTCAAAAGTTTGTTTCAAGATGCGACAAGTGCTAAAGAAGTGGTGGCATAAC